TTTATGTCGATATTTGAATAATAATACATTGCTCTGATTTAATATTTGACTTTGATGATCGTATTTTATTATTTTATTTTTTCTAAAAACGTAAGTCACACCTATCTCTAAGGATATTTCGAGTTCGTGCTGTACATATAATATTCCACATTATCTCTGAGCTCAAACTTTTCTTCTTCATTTCAAAAACATTCCTTTGAAAGAACTGTCATTTTCGATTTCACAGTTCGAACACGAACTCAGTCCACACGAACTCAGTCCACACCGAGGTTGACAAGACAGACGACTGATAACTTCGTCTGCAGAAATAGGCTATTTCTTATATGAGGCGATTTTGTATTTTATTGTTTATTATATATATATATATATATATATATATATATATATATATATATATATATATGAGGCAGGATGTGTGTTTGTGTGTGTAACGAATGCACGGCCGCAATTTTCAACAGATTTGCACCAAAATTTGCAAGCACATGCTCCAAGTTAGCGGGAAGGCCAAATCCGACATTGCATTTCTCAACTCCCATCAACAGTGGAAATAATCTATTTTCATGCTTCTACGACAGTTTTCATGTAGTTTGCGGCTATTTTGTACTGGCCAGAGTGAGAGACACTAGCTGGCTGCCACGAATAGGCAGGAGGATTCTATAGGCCGGCGTGAGAGTCAACAGTTGACTGACACGAATGTTAACTAGCATGCAAAAAAATCGATAGCTGCATTCGTCACAAGTGGGAAAAATTTAAATCTGCATGCCACTTTATTCCAATTGGCTCATTCGCTTGCTTAAAACCAACGGTGATTCTGATTCCGCAGAACTGGGTTGGGTGTGAAAAAGTATTTGTCGTTAACATTCTTTTTTCATTCGGTTTTTCCAGTTACGAGTCCTTTTTTTTTAAAGCTGATCGTTTTGTGTTCATTTTGTTTAGTTCTTTTTTCGTAACAGTTTTAATGTTTCGTATAGAGCTTAGAAAACATTCGCAGTGAGAGATAGACAAGAAGTAAGGCATGTAGCGACATCAGCACGGAAAAGGGCACTCCTTTAAAGGCAAGAAAGGGCAAAACTATTTTAAGGCAAGTGATAGCGATTGGTGCATGAGTTGTACGATTTTTGAATCAAGCACGACCAACGCCGCACAATGCTGCTAGTATATATATATATATATATATATATATATATATATATATATATATATATATATATATATATGTTGATAATTTTTCTACAATGAGATTTAAATCACATATAAATAGACAAACGAGATGTGATGGCTCGGAATAAAAAAGTTGTTATCCTCGAGAGGCAAGCGGTGGAGACAAGTTCGTCTTTATAACGAATTTGAAGTACGTAGTGCTTTGTCTGAAGACGACCAACTACTGGCTATTCTCACGGAGAAGTCCAACGTTATCCCATAGGTGTGCAAAACTTTTCAGTTTCCTTAACTATAGGTACTCTAATTTTGGCACTGTTTTATACATGCAACCTTTTTTTACCTCAGTTCGACTGATTTTTGCTTAGATAGACTGAAAATTATTTCATCGATTTTTGGCCTTCTTTCCTTGCTAGAAACCAAACTGAAAAGGGATAGAATTAGAGTTTTCTTAAAGACTAATCTAAAAATGAGGAAATGAATTTAATGGATCTTGCCGAATTAGTAAGACCGTTCGATGTGATTTGGCATTCAAATTCGAATTCGTGATAAGATAGAAAAATAGCTGAATTTTCTGAAACAGAGTTAGGTAGGGAAAATCATCAAGTCATAAACATGTAAAAAGGAAAAAAAAGATTATATCGATTGATTTAAATAAAAAAAAATCACAACCTTCTAAGAAATGATCGCCGATGAAATCAAAGATGTTCAGGTAACTGTCTTGGATGAACACCAAACTTGTTTAGCAGAAATGTGAGATGAAAATGGAAAACAATACCGCAAAGACAAAATACTTCTCTCTCCTATCGAGAATCTGCGAGAGTAAGAGAGGCTAAATATTATGCTTAAAGCGGAAGAAGACAGTTGTCCGTGTTAGTATATATTGATTATCACATGTCCGCTTAATGGGGATAAAAAAATATCTTAAGTCTTTACAGCAGGGAGACCATTACAGCAAAAGATTATGACTTCTCATGAGCAAACTTAACAGTCTGGAGGAAGTCTCCAATGTCCCAACGAAATGTAGGTAATTCTATATATTAAAGTTCTGAAAAATAAATAAATTTTTGCAAACACACATAAAAAGAACACAGACAAGCCCACCATATATATATATATATATATATATATATATATATATATATATATATATATATGAAGAAAAATAAACAGAAAAAACAAACAAACATTTTATATGTTCTAATGTTAATTATGTTTTATGAATATGTCCTGATGATGGTCTAAAATAGACCAGAAACGTCCGACGTTGACTTTATATTAACATTAATACAGCATAATTGCATATTAAGATTTGTGTTTTGTTTTTTTTCTGTATATTTTTCTTCATACTGTCGGATCTATATCCATATAGTTGATTATATATATATATATATATATATATATATATATATATATATATTAGTGAATATAAGTAATATACAACGTCGATAGCAATATTCGGTGTCTTTTTTTCTGTATATTTTTCTTCATACTGTCGGATCTATATCCATATAGTTGATTACATATATATATATATATATATATATATATATATATATATATATATATATATATATATATATATATTAGAATATAAGTAATATACAACGTCGATAGCAATATTCGGTGTCTCATGAACTACATGAAACACCGAGTAATCTTATGGACATTGAATATTGTGTATATTTACTACTATCTGCATATAACTCAGTTTCATATCATTGAGCACTGTATATATAACAGCTTAGCAATAAATATAACGTACGTGCAGTTATTTGTGAGGGTATGCACATTTTTGTGCGTGTGTATAGAGAGAAAGATATATCTCTCTCTCTCTCTCTCTCTCTCTCTATATATATATATATATATATATATATATATATATATATATATATATATATATATATATTGTCCTTCCATTTAATTGTTTAATATGTGAACAAACACTAAACTAATTGAATTTCTTTTTTTTTCTTGCATTTCATATAAGACATTTGTATTAAGAATCACTGAAAAACCACTTGAGTTATTCAGCTAGAAAAAGAAGAGGTTAACATCTGTTTTCTGTCAGACCAATTGTCTTACTAAATGACCAATGTTGAAGGGGGAAAAGATCATTCATGCCTTCGGTAATGGTATCAACATTCATACTCCGGCTTCATTCATCAAGGTTCATTCAAGAACTATCAATCGAACTTTAAAATAATAATTTTAAAAAGAGGAAATAGTAGAGAGAAAAAAACTGGATTACGAGGTCACAACAGGAAGTGGAATCATCATTTCAACTGAGAGCTGAAGAGATCAATTAGAAATATCCAATTTAATCCACATGATGTTTGGTACTTGAGGGAGGTGTTTGATCTATGACAGTCCAAAGAGCAGTGAAAAATACTTGAAAATGAAATTGTACGTGACACATGTGAAGCATCCTGCTGCTACTCGACAGAAAGTTAGAAAGTTAAAGAGGGCGAAGATCATCTTAAAAATTTTAAAATGATCCTAGAATATATATATATATATGTGTGTGTGTGTGTGTGTGTGTGTGTGTGTGCTTCTGATCCTTAGCTATGATAAATTAATGACGGACATATCATTTTCGTTTCTGATCGATTTCATCACGATTCTTTTGTTAAGCTAGAGGAGTAATTATATATTATTATTGCGCAAAGTAGGGCCCAATAGCGTTATACAAACATGGCGAATTCCAGTAAGATAACTTTAATCATTTCTAAGATACAACAGTTCAAATCTTAATCTAACAAATAGACAATTTTTGAATTTGGGCCTGAAAATTTTTCTAATTCTTAGTCGATCCTGACATATTTATTTAATCTCCCCTATTTTCCATTGTTTTCTTGAGTAAAACTTGAATACAGGTTGCCACAGTTAAGAATTATCGCACAGATTCATGTAATATGTTTCCTTCCCGTGAGCCATAAAAAGGTATCGTATGTTTTTTGTGGTATTACATAGTCTTTGTTTTTTTTATTTACATGGAAGTGAAGCTGATTTGGAATTTGGCTATTTCAGAATATTAGCTTGCTGCTAAATTCTGTTTCAATTTAACAATTGTAAGAGAAAATAGAAAGGTAGAAAGTTCTTTCTCATCTTTCTAAATTAATACCGCATAGCTTGAAAAAGAACTGAAAAGCGCGTCTTTCATCTGGGCTGAAACACTTATCGTGTTTTAATACGCAACTGTCAAGGCGGCATCCATATTAGCTGTTACTTTTCTTTCTCTGATTCTAATATCAGTCAAATATTAGCGGATAAGATTTGATGCATGTCTTATCTTTTTAATCGATGTCATTATTTTATTTAAAAAAATAACTGTTACTTTAATTTTGAGTTACAATATAGAGAATGTAATGAATAACTAAAATTCCTCCATATTTCTTCTCATATGACGCCGAAAAGTCTATTTAAATTTCATACAATAAATATATTCAGATATTTATTCTTTAGATAAAGAAAAGCTTACAAAAGCCACCATTAAATGAAATAGATTTATTAACGTAATGCATTCAAGGAAAAACGCAGGCTCCGACTATTTTTTTGAAACTGCATTTTTCTTATTAAAATGACAGGATATTTGTCAAGTAAAAATCTGTGCACTCGAAAAAGCAGCAGGAAAGACATTGTTTTGCGCTTAAATTACAGTAAGTGGACATTTTGATTAATATTCTTCGCCTGTTTCTAAAGACATGGTTCGGTTTTTACTGTAGTTATGTTTGTCGTTTTATTCTTTGCTTGTTAAAACAATGTAATAGAGAACAATACTGGAAATAGAGACGCACACAGACGATCAAAAAAAGTACCACCTGTTTTAGCAAGATAGCACTTTCGGCCATATCACGTTGAAACACCAGTTCTCCTACGATCACCGAAGTTAAGCAAAGTCGACTCTGGACAGCACATAAATGGGTGACCTCTTGGAAATACCAGGTGCTTCAAATTGGGATGTAAGGCTAGTGTAATGGATAAGGGCTCGGAATGTTTTAACAGGTGTTCGCTACATTGACTTACATGCGAATACTCTTGGGATAGGTACAAATCCACCTCTTCTCTCTCCAACTATTGGTTAGTTGTACCACTAAACCATTATCTCAAATAACAAGAAAAAAATGTAATCTAACAATAATATCTGGCTTTAAATAAATTGCAAATGTTTGAGAAGCCGTACAAAATGAATGAATCAGTCATTTAGTAAAATGTCACACAATGTCAGAAACGAATGTAAGCTCATTTCTTAGTAAAGATAGTAGCTCAGTGACAGTCTGGCTTAAGCCTTTCTGAAATGAATGTGCCACTATAGGAGGTGTGTGTCACTGCAGAGAAAATCAACTCCAATTAAGTATCATTGATGATTTCTGAATGTTTTTCAAAGATCAAATTTTCCATATGAGTTAAGCAATAGATCGTGCCTGAAGTGAAGTTTTCGATCATATCATCGACTTTCTAATTGTCAACCTCCAAAATGTTTATCACAGGCAAAATGCCATAGACAGTGGTGAGAACAATGCGAAATCCAACCGTTTTACAAATAAAAAGAAGCTATGTCGTACAATGTTATTCGGCTCCCTGAACAGGACTGTTGAATCACAGGGGTAAGGGCCATAGCAATTTGAAACCGCTGTTCTCGGATGATCACTGAGGTTAAGCAACACCAGTCCTGGTGAGTACCTAGTGTTAGAATTTTTGGGTAGTTTTTGTACTGGTGAGATAGCCAAAATGAGCTGACTCATTTTATAGTCCACCAAGAGAAGGGTTAACCAATCAGAAAGCACAAAATATTCAGTCCGACGTGTATAAAGGCAGCCATTTTGTTTTTTCTCAAAAAATATCTTCACTGCCAATCTGATATCGAAGACTTAAAGAATTACTTAACAGCCACTACTTTCTCCGAACCTTCACTGCCAACCTCTGATATTGAAGACATTACGGACTTCACTGGATTCCATATTCAGAGACTACGGCATACATGGTCAACTCCTAGATGATTGACCGCATAGACATAGCAAAAGCTGCAAGCTTTGATGTCCGGATGGTGTTGTGGATATCGGCTCGAAATTGGAAATCAGAGAGTTGACTTCCAATTCCGGCCGTGGTAGAATACATCTCTTCTTCTCCCAGCTATGGGTTAAATAGTAAAACCCGTATCAGTTCATTATTACTATCTTCAATTAGTATCTTACAATACCAAATATTGTCTTTCAAAAGGTGGAAGTGACGTAAAAATATCGAATCATTGAATTTATCAGTCAATGAAGTTTCATTAGAAATGACTATGAAGCTTAATGTTTCAGAGATTCCTCAAGATTGATAGGGCTGTGTTTACCTGTATATACATACCCCCATATATATATATATATATATATATATATATATATATATATATATATATATATATATGTATGTATGTATGTATATATGTATGTATATAAATATATATATTCGTCCGTGTATTGGTTGATATATTGAAGAGTTACTGTCATCTTTGATAATGGCCTATGTAAGCCGAAAGCTTAGATTGGATTTAAACATGTATTAATATGGTGATTTCCTTTCGTCTTTTAATGATAATGTTATTAAGATTATCAGACAATATGAATGGAACTTACTTAAAATAAATAGAAACAACTTGTCTATATTATTTGATGAAACATGCATCAATGAAAAATTGCTGCCTAAATATACACAATATATATATATATATATATATATATATATATATATATATATATATATATTATTTGTGTGTTTGTAGATATTTTGTGTGTCTGTGAGAAAGAGAGAAAGATAAATATAATTGATGAAATTATATATATATATATATATATATATATATATATATATATATATATATATATATTATATATATAAACCTAACTTCATATCCACTGGGTACTATGTAAAATCCCGAAATTTGATTATTACACGGAGACCGATTCTAATAGACAGGTTGTGAGTGAGAGTACTGTTTCACTGTGAGATATTTTAAGAAACAAGATACATGAAAGTAATTCATTATGATGTCTGTATTCAATGAAATAATGCGTCTCGCATTCCTCCATATATATATATATATATATATATATATATATATATATATATATATATATATATATATATATATATATACTATTTCATTTTCTTTTAAAAATAATTAAATGTCTTTGAAACCAAACACTGCAGCCTTTGTTTACTATTTTATTATTCTTAGGTAGGGCTGCTTAAAATTAATTTAGTGGTCCATAATAAAATATACATACAATGGAACCTATTCATAGCTAATTGTGTTTGGAATTTCACAGGTGTTATGAAAAGTGAAATTCTTAAAATAATGTAAAAAATTTTAATCGATATAAATCTATAAATGTTACTCGTAGAATAATTTGTTTTATATCCGACCAAATCGCAATATATAAGATATGCTAAGGAGAAGCAAACAATTACAAAAGAACGTACAAATGATAAATGAATACTTTGTTGGTAATAGAATAACACAATATAATAGAAAATATAAAAATAGATTCCGCATTTTAGACGAAACATGCGATGTAAACATTAATTAAATATCTAAAGTATATTTTCACGCCATACAGCGTGTGAAAGCACGTGCTATAGCTGCCCTCGTCGGCTGAAAACTACACATGATGAAACAGTTTTCGTGATAAAACAGTTTTCGTGATAAAACAGTTTTGGTGGCTAAGGCAGTACTGCCACCTTTGGCGACCCCAGCAGCTTTTGCCACAGGACAGGGTATTATTTTTTGTGTAGACGTGTCAGTCTCTTGCGATTTTTTACAACTAAAAGTCAGACTTTTAACGTTGAGTTAAAAGCCTTTGCTTTTGATTGTTAACCGTTGCACAACGCGTTCGTAGTGACCATTATCAATAACGAAGAACAGAAGGTAAAGAAATGTTTTCACGTGGGAAGTAGCATTGTATGTGCGAGCATGGTTTTAATTAAATTTGCTTATTTTGGATCTTTACCAGATCCATGCCGATGCCTCTGAGATCTGGAGACGAGGATTGAGTTCCCAATCATGCGTGAATTCCCCAGACAGCCCCAGGTATACCGAATTTCTGCACTACTGTAATAGTTACCTAGCAGGAAGTCCGTCATACAACGGGCAACGACACCAAAAACATTTTCCACTCAATATTTGAGTGGGAACTGGGGCGGATATTTGCACAACTTTTGCATTCTTTTTCATAGGTATCCAAGTGCCCTCCGCCAGGCACCAATTTGTGGTACAATACCTTGTTTCCCTGACCGCTGGAGGAGAATTTTAGGTTGCTGGAGGACGTTTTGACAATTATTATACAAATTGTAGGATATTCCATTTACCGGCACGGATTTTTCGTACGAATTCTCGAATTCCTCTCAGCTTTAGTCCGCTGTCATTAACACATGGCCAATGGGACTTGAGGCCCAGGAAGGTCATTCATAGGAGCAACTGGAACATATTTCCACGCATCAGAATAGGCAATACTCAGTTCCTTCTGCGTTACTCCGTGTTTGCCAGCTTTAGTCTCGATGATAATCTTTTTAGCAAAAAGTGTAAGGATTATTTTAAAATGATTTCTGAAACTGTCGCTTTTTCTTCCAACGATTTCTTTGGTTCTCAGGTCTATAGGTCATTAAGATCCTTTCACTGGAGGATAAGCAAGAAGCACAAAATCGAAACCATTGAGAGATGGTATGAGTACCAATACACTTACCCAAAATAACGATGTAACTATCCACTGGGACATGACAGTTCAAACTGCCGGGGAAATAAAAGCCAACAAACCTGATATTATAAGAAAAGACAAGAAATTCAGGAAGTGTATTCTTATTCCCATATCAGTACGATTTGAGATAAACACCTCCATGAAAATTATCGAGAAATCGTCCAAATGCAAGGACCAGGAAATCGATATTTACGGGATGTTGGAATGTTGACTGAGACTGTACCAATAGTAATCAGAGTATTGGACATCGTGATAAAAGAAATGAAAAATTTTCCTAACAGCCTACCGGGTAAGATCGCCTTACTAGGAACATCTCATATACTAAGAAAGGTGCTATCAATTAATTGAAAATTCATCTCTAGGACCATAATTTGGACCCGACGCTAAAGAATAGGAAATAGTAAACATACTATGCATAAATACTACTACTACTACTATTGCTGCTGCTGCTGCTACTACTGCTGCTGCTACCACTACTACTGATAATAATAATAATATCAAATCAAAATCATCATCATCATCTTGCGGCCTCAGCCGAAATTGAACTCACCAATACTTTGATTGGTGTAGTTCATAATCTTGTCAAATAGCTGAATTCTTGATGTTTCGCTAGGGCTATCAATGCTCTTTTTTATCGTGACACCAACACTAAATGGATTGCCAACCAAGGCTCAGAGAGACTCCATTCACCCTCCTCTAAGAGCAGGTTTGAATTCAGAGTTTTCCTTCTCCTAGTCCATTTGCCATCCAAGGCTATAGAACCCAGTCTGTCCTGCTATTTACCCATAGCTGGAGGGAGAAGAAAGAGTGTTAGCACGTAAGTGAATGTAATGGATTCGACTGGAATTCGAACTCGGCTCTCCGATTCCTCAATCCAAGCCGCTATCCATTACACCACCGTACCTCCCTCAAATCAAAATACAAGGACCTTGAAATCGATATTTCAATAATGTGGCACATGACGACATCAACAATTCATCAGACTGATTGCAAAATATTCCAACAGACTAATTGGAGGGATTCCTGGTAGTCTATGTGTTAAAGAAATACAAAAGGAATTTTCTCACAAGTACAGACCCCACCTTACGAAGGGCTTTGTCTATGTAAAATATGTGTGATTTTTTTTCAAATGTGTTCATTGGAAAATCTCATGATGCAATTTCTGAGCTTAGGTCTCTGGCTGGGACCCGGAAAGCATGAGTATACACCTG